AAAGCAAAATTACATGAATGAAGGAGGGGTATAATATGTAATGCGAACATGAGCAAGACAGCAGAGGTTCCAACAACAATCCATAGCATAAATCAAGCAAGGAGATTCAAGTGAAAACCATTAAGTCGAGCAGAATAAATATAAAATTTAAAAACAATATAACGATCTGAGCGCGAAAAGCTCTATGGAAGATGATAGAGTACAGCCTATATGATAAAAGCAATATTCAAAATGAGTAGATTTAATTTTAAAAATGGATACGATTTTAAGGCATTGATAGTTCTTATGCACGAGTTGATCCAAGAGGAGAATTGTTTCCGCTCCTAAATTGTACTTTACCATTTATCCTAGATTGAAGCCATCGTGGGCAAATCAACTGTCCCTGACTTAAGCACAATACCCTAGATAGTGCCCTATATTTTGTAAAGGACCAACTACCTTGGCTAGCTGAAGACTACGCTCAGCACAGCTAGACCAGCCTCGATGAAGGGCGATCTCGAAGACATATCGCACAAGGCGACCGGCATTCTGCATAATGTAGTTCTGGTCGGAGACAAGAGAATGTCCGGTTGGCTCATGTCGGCTGATGTAAGCTTGCAGCAAAGTGTTCACTTTGCTCTCTACTTCTACGCTTGCAGCCTCAGCCAGAGCCGCAGCTTCTTCCTCTGACAGCTGAGAATGAAGCGCCTCGGACGCTGATTGTTGGGGATGCTGATGCTTACTGCCAGAGGCTCCGTCAGGCGGTCTAGCAGGTCTGTGACTGTTGCCGCTTAAGCTCATACTCGCCCTAAGAGTGTTCAGCTTGTCTAAAGTCAAATTCGTTGTTGATTTCAAGATATTTACTTGGAGACGACAGACCTGATCACGGAGCCCAGCAAGCTCGATCGATTCTTCTTCACGAACCTGAAAAATATGCATATAGAATAAAATTAAAGAGCCCTCTGAATTAGGTGGAATAATCTGATTCAAGATTAATATTGCAAATAGACAGTTTTATAGAACTTAGTTTAGGCTAGTAAATAAATATTTTGTTAGATAAAAATAAGGCCAAAAGAAAGAGCAATAGCCAAAAAAAGTATATGGAAATAATAAGAGTCAATGGCTTTTAGGAACTAATAATAAGTCTTGAATAAGAGCTATAGTCAACCTAGGTCGCATACGATGATAAAGGACTCAGTTGAATCTTCCCGTGATGATAGGAATAGGATGCACGATACCATCGAATTTCATCTAGCCTTGCCTTTCAAAAGGGCAGGGCTGCAATTTAGACCTCACTTCGGTATATAAGTGTCCCCAACCGGAATATAAACTGGGTAGTGCAGCATATATTAAGTTAGCTTGTTGTTGTAAAAAGTTTTTATTGAGAGAATTAAAAGGAAGTATAGATTTCTACCATGTTTTTGCAACATGCTCATATTGGTAGGAAGACCTAGAGGAACGCACCTAGTTCGGGGTCCATAGTATGCAAGATCATTTCCAGAGTCGTACCGTGGACATGGTACATTACCAGACGTTTCGCCAGCATCGTCAGTGAGTCTTTCCATTCTTAGCATCACACTAAAACTCGTCAAAGAGAGAATTAAAGTCGACCCTTTGACTAATTGTCTGCTAAACAATCGTGGTTCAAGAGAACAGACGGATCCTACGGGGGAAGAGGGAGACTCTGATAAGACCTATAGTGAAAGCATGATACGAGAATATAGGATTGGATATTAGCCACAGCGGAAGGAGAGATACCATGATTGTTTAGTAGACAATTGGTCAAAGGATCGGCATCACTTGTCTCTTTGACGAGTTGTAGTGTGGTGCTAAGAATAGCAAGACTCACTGACGATGCCGGCGAAATGTCTGGGAACGTACCACGTCCACAGTCTGAGTCTGGAAATTAGCATGCATACTATGGACTCCGGACTAGGTGCGTTCCTTTAGGTCTTCCTACCAATATGAGCAAGTTGCAAAAACAAGGTCAAACAACTTCTATACAACGAAGGTAGACTGCGACCACACAAAAGGCCACACCATCTTATTCTTCAGACCTTCGATTGAAAAGAAGTAATATTTGGCGCACTTTTTATTTCGTTTGAAAGGGAAAGTGGAAGGGACTCGCAAATTAGCCCTACCGGAAAATCAAGGCGGATTGTCTTGCAATTATGACGGCTGAATCATGAGAAAAAAGACATCACGATGAGTCTGGAGTGGGCTTTGATTTTTCATGTAAAAGACGTCATCAGGAATAGAAATCAGCACTTAGGAAAATTAGCCAAAACACTAAACCATGAAAGATGATTGGCTGAGATATCGCCAAATTCTGCGATCTTAGTGAAGCATCTCATGAGTTGGTTGGATACTTAATGGTTACCTTAGATTTTTACGGATGAATGATGCCGACGCATAGAAAGGATATGAATGTGGTTACAGCTGGGTCCTTGCATAAATAAACTAGCCTTTAATTCTGCGATGCTAACGTGTGCCTCAAATCTGTGGACTCATGTACGCTGTGTGTATAGTATGCTTGAGCCAGTTAATATGCTATAACCCATACCAGACAATGAGTTAATGAAGCCTTCACCTCTTATTTGCAATCGGTCATGGTCTCTCTAATTCTATCTAATGACCAGAGGTATTTCTTGTCTAACTTCATAAACTCGTTGCTTTTATCCACGATGTTTTCGACTGACTACTTATTCTTTATCTCAGCCATGAAGGCTGATTATAGACAAATCTCTCAGATTCTCCATATTAGCAAGATGTTCTGCCAATTAGAATTTCTCGACTCATAAATGTCTGCAGGCTGATGAGTTCGCATAAAATAATGCTCCATAAGTCTCTCCCAAATAGACATTATCGTATGATCATAAAACCGTATAGCAACATCCCTCATAATAAGGCATCATCAAAGAAAGTTTTCATTTTTCCTTATGTGTAGTTCTGAATTAGAGGAAACACATGTGCTCCCATCTATATCCTATGCACGCACCAACATTATTCGTCTATGAGTATCATAGATAGGCATAGAATGACCAGCCAACTCATGGAATGCCTCAGTGTGATCGCACAATTAGGTTTGAGAAGTAGGTGGGATTTCAGCCAACTATCTTTCTCGGTTTAATTATTTTGTGAATTTATCTTAACTGATTGTTTTTGGCTCTAATTGTCCGTCAAATGACAGACGAAAGCTCAATCATGATAAATCACGTTGTACGATGTTAAGTCAAAAATTACTTCGCACAATCAAAGTCACAAATGCTAGTGAAGTCACTACAAATACCTTTCAACCGTCTATTCAAACAAAAAGAAAGGTTAGCTAAATGTTTCTAAACCAGCTCATTTGCACACCCAGAAAACGGTAAAATCCTATAAAATTGGAACTCAGTTACATCAATCACGTTAATGAAAAACTTTTATAGATC